TTCATGATGAAACAATAATTGATTTTATTTCCATCAAGAGGATAAAATTACACACGCGCCGTGCGATGGGCCGTCCTGCACCATTCTTCTTTGATGAAAATCATCTGTAAATTCATTAAACAAGACTATCAGGAAAGTTCTGCCTCTGGCAAGTATAAATGTTTGATGTTTTGGTTTTCTTTAGTTGTCTACATGCCTAATTCAGAGCCTCAGAATTTTTTCAGGAACGAACCTACAGAAGCTTGAAGTACATTTAGGAAGAGTACACATACTGTCTTGCGCACATGTGCATGCATGTTAACGATTCAAATAACTTACATAAGTATCGTTACGTTTTTCCCCGTGGGTTGAACAATAATTGACTACGCTGAATAATCAAACTCAACTTCATTTCACTTTAAATACAACAAACACTACAACTACTATTCGAATGTCTATCGCCTTACTAGATCACTTTGCGTATCGCACTGTAACTTCCACCTGACTGTGTCGATTTACTGCTGGCTAGCGTTTATATATCGTAATCGAATACGGCAGAATATTCGCCGAAATTCCATCGAAATCGGTAGCATTATTCTCGCTACATCTAGAGCGCCAGCAAACATCGTACATTCGCGCGCTGTTGGCTACGTCACGATTGGTTTATGGTTACCAGTGGCGGCCGGCGTTATTTTCTTCAGGGCATGATCAACAAATGTATTATTGATAATAATTTAATTTTAGTCTGCGATTTTATTTGATATATTTAGAACTATGATTTTTTAATTCGAAATGAGTTTTCTTAAACAGATATCAATTTTTAGAATAAAGTTTTTTGGCTTCCACTCCTCCATCTTTTATAAAACTTTGTGAGAAACTTTCACAGGAAATGAAGTTACTTTCAAAAATGAACTCGAAATAACTAGTTTTATAATATATAAACATAAGATTTCATTTTTAGTTCAAAGTAGTAGATTACACGAGAGAAAATGTACTTTGGAAACAACTACTTAAATTGAACATAGAATGATAGGAAAATCACTTCTTTAAACATTCGTTATGGAATCGAATCAGAAATTATTCATAGGAACGATACTCAATATGGTTTATGGAAAAGTTAAGGTATAAAATTTCACTTACATAGCCATCCTCAATGGTGAACTTCAAAGTTTTGGAATGAGATACTTGTCTTATCACCTCATGAGTAACTACCTGAATAATATCACAAGATGAAACACTCATTTAATTCCTATCATAATGACTTTATGTTACAGAAAAATCTACTCATATTATAAAGACATTCATAGGCTTATATGATTTGATCACAGTTGAAGGAATCTTGTTTGAACAAAGGAATATTTTTTAGGAGAAATTAGTTTTTGGGGGAAATGGATTTTGGCTCTCACTTCTCCATCTTTATACAAAAAATTATGAGAAACTTTCAACGGAAGGACTACAGCAATCAAGTTCAGAATAAACTCTTCACAATGATGTGTACATCATGCATAAAAGTTACTTTCAGATAAAAACTGGAAAGGAAGGCTCTGTCGAAACAACTACTTTCATATGAACATTGCAGTGAAGTGAAGTAAGAGCCAAATACCTACCGTTTTTCCCTATGAATTTCTTGTGTTGATTATTATATACTTTTTCACCAGAAGTCGCTGTTATTTGAAATTATTTGCATGTTTCTTTTGTGTGTAACCTCAAGTTAACATTAACCTACCATTCGAGCGAAAAGTTCCATATGTGAACATTGTTGCTTCACAAGAACAATGTACCCATTATATCAACTCATATCAGAATGCGAAATTATAAATAAGGGAATGCCAATAAAACAAATTGTTAACGGAACACTCAACCTTAGAAAACAATTGCCGTTAATAGAAAACGAAAATTTGGACAGTAACTTCAACTAAAAAAAAAAAATAACTTTATTAGTACGAGGTAAGAACCTGGTACTAATAAAGTACTTAAATTTATAATAAACACGATTTCGCAATTTCACACAAACCATTTTATACGGATATGAATATTCCACTGTCAGAAAGTAATTTTCAGAGAGAACTGATTTATATGAAGCACATTGCTATCAACAACAGTTTTTTTTGATACCTTGGGAGCTGTCTGACTTATCACTTTTTATCCTGTCCAAGTGTTGGTTCCAGGTCAGTTTGGAATCTAGGATTACTCCCAGATATTTAACCTCCCCCGACACTTGTATTTCTTCACCTCGAAGTTTTAGAGGTCCGATACCCTCCGTTTTAGTCCTCTTGGTGAATGCTACTATGATCGATTTGGATGGGCTTACGTTGACCCCTTCTTCTTCGGTCTATCTTGTTATAATATTCAGGGCCTGCTGCATGCATCCCTTCACTACATTATTGTATTTACCCTGGACTAAGATGACGTCGTCTGCATAGCCCAATGCTTCATACCCATTGTGTTCCAAGATACATAATAGCTCGTCCATTACAAGGATCCATAACAGAGGGCCCCTTGCTACCCGTGCCACGACTGTTTCCCCCATAATGGTTGTATATACCAATCTTCCCTACTACCATGCAGTCTATCCACCTACAGCTTGTCTTGTCAATCCCTCTTCTCCTCGACGCCAGGATGATTGATTTTAATGACGTATTATCGAATGCGCCCTCAATGTCCAAGAAAGTAGCTGAAATTACTTCCTTGTTTTGTAAGTATGTTCTACTTTTTCTGTTACCCGACATAGAGCCGTTTCTGTTGACATACCTGACCTGTATGCATATTGGTCTTGATGTAATGGTCTGATAGCCAGTGATACGTCCCTGATATGCCTGTCACGTAGTTTTTCTAGCGTTTTCAACGCAAATGATATGAGACTGATTGGCCCTGAGAATTATACTTCTGTTCCCTTTTGAAGCATTACTGGGTATATGCCATCAGGTCCCGGCGACTTATAGGGTTGAAATGAGTTTACAGCCCATTTAATTTTCTCCAGATCTATCACCTTCCTTGTCATATGCCAGTCCTCCCTCGATGCCCTTTTCGGGGTCTTCAGTTCTGAATTCGCCCAGGACTCCGGTGTTAGATTTGTAATTTCTGACCCGGGAAGTTGTACCCGAAAAAGCTCTCTAATAGCTTCTTCTCCGATTTTTGTGTACTCCCCCGTATTTGTTTTCATATTATTTATTGAGACCCGAGGTTCCTTCGAAATTATTTTGTAGAGCCTGGCACATGCTTGGGTCTGTTCGACCTCCTCACATTGCCTTCTCCACGACATTGCTGTTAAGACCCTTCAGGCTTTAAACATGTTCCCCTCCAAGGCCCTGAATGAACTTTTATTCATGGAGAAGGCCAGGATTTGTCCTTCCTTTTCCACTTTTCTGCTCAGGAGGATCCAGTTTTCCACTCCCAGGGCAGGATTCTGCTTACTGAGGCGTGTCCTAACTGTAGCCTCCTCGTCTTTTTGGCCCGGAATGAAGACTAGGACTCTCGGTCTTTTCGGGAGTTCGTTTACCCCGACCACGGTCAACAACGGTTACAAATCAGATAATAACGAGTCCACTCTTTTCAAAAAACTACGAAAATAAAACATAGGAGTAGTTTCTTCATTGTGAAGACTATTTCCACATTTGCGAACCATTTCTTGGCAGAGAGATATGAGTTCAATCACGACTATGACGTACAGCATTGGAAATAAAAAGGTTTGCAACTCAAACTTTTGGAATGCTTGGAAACTAATTAATTCAAGAATTCTGAAAATTTACTGGGTGACTGAATTTTTCCCCTATTTTGAATCTGTTTTGTAATGTTAAAATTAGTAATTGGTTTATTATATGTTCATTCAATCAGTTGGTAAAATTTTAATTTATTAGTAAACTCGGGTAAAATTATAAGTCATTAAATAGGTAGAGGGTCGTATGATTCAAAGTGTTGTTATATGAAGCACTGATTATCTGGAAATCTCACCATAAAGTGTAACCTGAATAAATTGTAACTTGTGAAAAATTTAGGGTCAGATGAGTATCACAGATACTTTGTTTATTCGACCCACCACTGCAACCCTCATCTAGTGAAAAAGCTGCAGCAAGAACAGCGCAAATAAAATTTTTTGCAGGAATAAATGGAAATAGTTGGAATTCTTGAGATGTATATTATTTTGGGTATATTGTGAATCACCTTCATTCATCGTCCCTGAAAAATGATGATGCTGTACCTGTGATGATTGAACACACATCATATGTAGTAACCAATTCTCCTCGACATTAACATACTATTTATGTAATGTTGTGATTTCATTTTAGGATGAATAAAAATCAAAATTAATAGATCTATGTTATGTTTCCATAAGAATAAATACAGGGTCTTTCACGACGAGCGTTCGTTAGGAATATATGAAGAACGATTCAAAATAAAAACTTGAAATTTTGTGGTAGTGGCTTTTACAAAATCGCCTTCTCAACTCAAATATTTTCAACTTCTGGTCTCTTTCCGTTATACCGGAAGTTGAGGGCAACATCCTTATTTCAAATGGAACATCCTGTATTTTATTACATTTTTGAATTTCTCAGCACATTTTGGGCCCAATTTGTATAACAATGCCTATACCCATATTTGTTAGTCATCACCCGAAGACGATTGTAGATACTAACAATCAAAACGTCGTGAACTAGGCTGGGATAATTCTGCAACGTTACATGGCTGACGGACTGCGAATAGCCATGATGCTCCCTAGGTGACTCGGGGAGTTATTAACATTGCATACCCAGGACCAATGCAGTCGATGCCGATGACACTCCCAAAAAAAAATATTTCGTAAAAATGAGTTTATAACACGAATAGAGTAGAAGGCATCACTATAAGTGAAACGATAACATGCTCTAAACCTTAAATAAGGTGTAATATCACAAAGAAAAATGGCAGAGAAAACTTTTATTGATATTTATCAACAACTCTAACTGATGACATGTAAGCTAGGAAATTCGAATTGATATTTTCAGTTTACACTTAAGCAGATTCTCTGTTGATTCAGATTAATTTTGTCAGATAGTACGTGGTTACAAACCTAAAGAAATCAGAAAGCCCCGACTTTCTAGTCTAGTCTAGTTTTTCCTTTTAAATAGGTTCACGAAAGTAATGAATATCCTTAAATAAATTGCTTAATTATTAACAAGCAACTTTCAAATAAGCTACCAAAGCATGTCTCTCGTTTTTCTTTTTCAACACCATGAAAACCATCTTGGTTCCTGGCATATACTTCTTTGGATCTTCGAGATATTCATCCAATGTTTGTTCCGTCCAAGTAATACCTATATTTTTGTTGGCCTCAGTGAAATTATAACCAACAGCTTGTCCTGCTTTTCTCCCAAAAAGTCCATTCAAATTGGGCCCATTTTTATGTTTACCTCCTTTCTCTAGTGTATGACAAGAGGCACAAGATCTCTGGTAAATTTTTTTACCCTTTTCTATGTCCCCCATTCAAAGCTGATNGAGTAAAAAACAATGAATTGAACATATAAATCGACGAAAGATAGTTAAACATTAATGGATTTTTTGGTTTGACAAATGTCATACCTTCACATAAATGTCATTTTCAATGGGCATGATGATTTGGTAATCTTTGACTCTAAAGGGAAAGTTGATTGACACAATTTTCATTATTATCTTTATGTTTTTTGGTGTAGTTCAAATTATTTGCTGTATATACTGCTGAGATTATCAATGTCAGTTCTCTCATTCATACAATCAGAAGAGTTATTGATTTTAACCATTTAAAAGAAAAGGCGTTTGGAGATGTTTTTTCTGAATGTAAAACTTTGATATAGGAGTAATTTGGTTTATGTCATGTTTCAATAGAATGTTGCGCTAATGCACATGATTTCCTAGTAAGCTTCATATCATTTTTATGAGAAGTTATTCTATCTTTAAAAATTCTAGATGTTGTTCTAATATAATCTAAATTACAATTGTTACAAGGAATGTTATAAATCACATTTGACTTTTTTGTAGTATCCGTTTCATCTTTTAATTTGGTATTCAAATTCTTGATAGTTTTGATATTTCTTTGGCATATTTTGATATTTTGTTCATTATGAAAAAGTTTTATGATATTTGAAGATAATTTTCCAAAATTATGTCTAGATTTATAAGATAAATTGATAAGTGAGCTATCATTACATAAATTTCTGTTGATTACATCGGACTTTGTATTACTGCCAGTATTGAAAATTATTTTATTGAGAAGTTTTCTAGGATAGGAATTTTCGATCAATATGTCTCTAAGAAGTCTGAGATTTTTTTGCTTGAGGGAAGGGTGTACTAATTTTTCTATTCTTTTTTTCAAACACAGTATTGAATTGATTTTAACTGATTTTTTAAGAAATGAATAGTAATTGATACTTTAGGAAAAAAGTTATAATGTTCAAGATCTCTAAGACGTGTTCATAGCTAGAGGTCGTGTGACGTAATTCAAGGTGGAGGTCAGTTGGGGAGGGGGAGGCCGAGAACCAGCATCAACAGCCTACTGATATGTCATGCTTCTATTGGGTACTCTTCATTGTAAAGTATATTATTGAAAAGCTCGGGGCACGATATCTGAAACTCTCGAAGCATATCAGATTGATTTTATTTTCCACTAAGTTTCAGTTCAGTTTCAGTTACTTGATTTGTATTGAAAGTATTTTTGAAATTAAACGATGATAGTTGAGATGAAATCATCTAAACAATTGCATATGTGTTGCTAGTATTGCAAAAAATACCAAAAAATGTTACTTTCATTTATACAACCACAGAATATATGGATCAATAGCTGAAATTCGAAACTAGAGCAGATGTTCGAATTCCGTACCAGTATAAGCCGAAATTAATGAATAATTGGTAAGTTCAATGGTTTGTTGAAAATTGCTTATATTTTCAGTTGTATCCTTCATTTTTTAATATGTGTATATATGAAAAAAATTGCAGCTAGAAAAAATATTTTTATTTCTGAATATATTCTATAAACAAACTTATCACAATAAAGCCAAAATAATACTTTTTTGTAGAGTTCTGCACTTCCGTTTCAAAATTACCAAAATATTGATTCTTGATTGAATATTAATTTACAGATCAATTAGAGGTTCATCTAGTTGCGTATTGAAACCTGTTATTCAATTTGGTTAGGAAGAATAACGATTGAAAACTTACAGGAAAATTCAAAATATATAAGTTTTGATAATAAACAATTCACAAATCATAATTATATGATTACCATAATGATCAAAAGGTGGAAAAAAGAAACTAAATTGTAACCTGAAAAAACCTTTTTAAAATTAACTTATATACATAACATTTACTCTTAAGAAATCCTATTTTATACAATAAAATGGTATTTCATTATTGGAATAAACACAGCTACTAGTTTTTGAAAATAAACAGTTTTTAAATCATAGCAGGTATTTACATCGAAGAAAACTAATTAGTGAAAGTTATGGAATATACTTATTGATTATAAAAAGATTATATGGTGATGGTTGGTAGTTTGTGCCTTGTGTATTATGGGTTAGAGCACAAGTTCCTCTTCTTTTCAAAGGTTTACTTGTTAGACGGATCTGGGCTGCACATCTGTAAAATCGAAGTATATCATTAATTAATAAAAACTCGTTTCAATCACCTACTGAAAAAAGTTTACAAATCCGTAAAATTGAAAAAAAAACATTTTTCTACTTTTCCATATTTATGTAAAAAAGTGGGGAACTTCCGAATGAAAATTCAGAATAAACTCTTCTCAAAGCTATGTAGATCACACATAGAAGTTACTTTCATATACAAACTGACATAAAAAAGTCCTCCTGGAATAACTACTTTCAATTGAACATTGAGTAATACAAAAATTTACTTTTTATCATTCAGTTTGTGAAGTACAAACATTCGTGAATATCACTAGTTCGGACTTCCATTGTCTACTATATAAAATGATTTGAAATCCCTGAAACAACTAAAAAAGAAACTTCCCTTCTCAAGAATTGATCTCTCCTGAAAATATACTCATTTCAATTCAATGGATTGAAATTAATGAAATGAAATTTTACAGTTACAGTTCTCTTACAGTTTTGTTGAACTCATAGTACCCTAGTTTCCAGTACTAAAAACAAAAATTGATAGGTGAGACAGAAAAGTATGATGGTCAAAAATATTGAATCAAATAAAAAAAAGCTTTGAAATGGCATACGATGGGGGACTATTTATATTTCAGGAACTGCCAACACTCATGTAAGTGGGTACAATGTGGGAACACCATAATAAAGTTTCACATTTTTTTAGCGTAAACGTACTCACAACGTTTTGATGTACAAGTGCTATTTGTTTTGTTGTTGACCAAAAATTGAAATTTCAAGAGAACGTTTTCGTTGGATTATTTTTCACAACTTTCGACGTGGATTATCTCAATAAGAATGTGTCGATGAACTCAGTTCTTCATATGGCGATAAAGCACCATCGAAACCACAGTTTATCGCTGGTATAGTGAATTCAATCCTGATCGTAGTTCGGTCGCCGACGAATTCCGTGAAGGTCGTCCAAAATCGGTTGTTGTGCCACAAAACATCGATGCAGTGCGTGAACTGATAATGCAAGATCGTCATGTGATATATTGTGAGATAGAGGCATCTTTGCTCATTAGTTCCACTTTGATACATTCGATTTTGCATGAACACTTAGTTGTAAAAAAATTGTTCTCGTTGGATACCCTATAATTCATCAATCGCTCAAAAAAAGGCTCGCGTCAAGTGGTACAAGAAAATTATCAAGTTCGACCGTGGTGCTTCAAAACACGTGTATAAAATCATGAGAGGTGAAAAATTATGTATATATGCGTATGAGCCGGAAACAAAAAACAGCAATAGACCGTGTGGGTATTCCAAAACGCGCTAAATGCAACAAAAATTGTTCGTGGCAGATGCACAGCGAAGCAAATGATCACCTGTTTCTTCGGTCGAATGGGTCATGTGGCCATTGTTCGGCTTGAGCAACATAGAACGGCCAATTATGTGGTACAAGACCATTTTTTTGCTGGAAGTCTTACACATGTCGTCAAACAGGTGCATTTTTGAGTAGTCAAAATATCGAATTGATGACTCATCCCCCGTACAGTCCTAATTTGGCACCCAATAACTTTTTCTTGTTTCCCAATATCAAAGATAAACTACGTGGTCAACGATTTATGAGGGCCGAAGAAGAAGTTCAAGCGTTCAAAAATCATGTTTTGGAGGTGTCTCAAAAGGAATGGAAAAACTGCTTTGACAAATGGTTTGAACGAATGCAAAAGTATATTATCAGGAGGAATATTTCAAAAAATAATAAAGCCATTTTCATTAAAAAATATTTATTATTATTTGCTTCTCTCGAAATATAAATGGTACCCCTTATTTCAGGTCCGAATTTTACTCGTAGGTCTTTCATCGGTCGCCATGGAACGAAACTATTGAAAGAACAAAACTGATTCATGGCCGATTGCAGTATATAGGAATGATTAAAAAAATTACAACGAAATATACAAGTCTTTACTCGAAAAAAGAGTGAAGGTGACCATTATTGAACAAAAAGCATTTTATAAAATTTCAATACTGTCCAGTGTTGTAAATCAATATGAAAATATGATGGTCATTTGCAGTTTCTATAGAACGGTGCTCCATTACATTTTCCACAGAACTGAATGATATTTGCCGGAAAGTGCGGTTGAAAAAAAATTAATTGAACGAAATATTTATTATATGGGAATAGTTTGAACATTTAAAGACGTAAGAGTATGAACCTGTTGAAAGTTATTTTTCACAAAACTATTAGGCAGATTTTGAAAACTCAAAGACTGAAAGAGAATTCGTAGGACTTCTTACTCGATCCCCTTGCCATTTGAAAATGTTGGAGTGAATATCAATCGTCAAACTCGGGGGTAGAATTGTTGTAGTCAATAGTATAGGGCAAGACTGTCTCCCTTCAGTCGAAGGGTTCTTGTGTTTTCGACAGGTCCTCTATCCCCTATTTTCTTTTTGTTTGATCACAGTTTATTATGATGTACAGCGTGATTTCAGAATAATTCACCAGTTACAATCGGAAGTGTTTATTTTGAGTAGATTTAGGCCCCCCACTTGAGAGAAAGTTTTATAAAGTGAGAGACTATATCATCAAACACAAGTTCCATCAAATCCTTGCTGGTCACATCTCAGACTCCCCTCATAAGAAAAATGATAAAAAAAAATTTATAATTCGAAAAAAAATTATATTTTCACAGGGACTCAGTGTTATTGGATGAAAAAACATTAACAGTAGATTCACACCAAAAGTAAAAAAACATGAAAACACTCTATCTCCGAAAAAGGAAACTTCTTCTCAGAGGTTAATGGTAAGATTTTTCAACTCAATTATTACGTAAAAGTCCTTTGATAGGATTTCGCAAAAGTGTGAGAGAGACTTTTCCTTTTGTAGATACATGGACAGATATGTTATTGATTTGAAAACATGTCCTACGACTATATAAAGAGTTAGTCATCGATTATGGAATTGTTTGAAGGATTAATGGAACTTCTTGCAAAAGTCCAAATTTAGAACTTTCATATCTTATTTAATGAAAAGTGATATGGCTTCTCAAAGCAGAAATTGGCTTCATAAACAAGGAATTGATATGGAATTTGAAATGAATTTGGAGAGAATATTTCCAAAAACGAATTTACTTCGATAAAATGGTTATTGAAAGCAACATCTGTTATAATGAATTAGTTATAATCGATTAGTGAAATGTATTTCATGTTACGAAATTTTATATTAAAGGAATATTTTTCGAAATTTTCGTTAATACATTAACAATCCGAATATTTTTTGTGGTAACTATTTGTCGACGAGTTTATGAGTTAATTTATTGGAATCATTAACTATATTTATGTGGAAACAACCCAAATACATTATTGAAACTGGAATGAAATCAAATAGTTATGAATCATGCTGTTACTATTTACGCTTGAACGACTTAATCAATTTTACTTACAGTGGGGTCGTGATTCTTCTGAAGAAGCTGCCTGCTGCTCTTGCTCTTGAGATTCATGCTCTTGGGGCATCATCGCTATGGGGATGTTCACGGGAAGACCACGAGCAAAAGTCTGTCTACCGTTCATTTCGGTTGCACCTTGTCTTTGTTCCTGAACGAAACGAACATCCTGTGGTGTTTCTTCGGAATCATTTTCGGCAACGGCGACGATCACATCACGATTAGGGAGTCTAGACAAACAAAAAATTTGAGAATAAAAAATATTACAATATGACCATAAAACTGATCCACATAACGATTCAAGAAGGAATTGCTCAATTCTGGTTGAAAGTGAACAAGTTGCTCGGAAAAAATATTTTCGCGATACAATATAATTATTTCTAGAACAAATACACATGTACACACTTCGTTACAGGAAGGTATATGTATAAAAATAATGATAGATATTCAATAATCGATGGGAAAAAGTTTGCTCCCGAAGAAGTTTCGAATTATGAGGACGAAGCAAAATCAACACAAGAAGAAAAAGAAGAAGCGACTTCGAACAGAAAACCGAAAACAGAAAAAAGAATCGTGACTCGTAATAATAAGGAAACGTAAAAAAACACTTTTGATTGTACGTCTCGATCTGGATAGCATGTTATTTTTGTATTCTTCAATCAATCTTGAAATTTCATTGACAATGTTTGATTGCGGACATATTAGCGTGAGATCGCTTCTCAATGATTTTGATATTGTTAGAGATCATTTAGAAAATTTCAAATATGACATACTGGGAATTTCTGAAAGCTGGTTGCATGAAGGTATAAGTGGAGAAATTGTACAAATAAAAAATTATGATTTCATCAGGCAGGATCGGAATAGGAGAGGTGGGGATGTTGGAATTTATATAAAAAAGCATTTGAAATCAGAATTCCAAAGACTTTTTGGAACAGGTATGGATTGAAATTACAATTCCAAACAGAAAAATTATCATAGGAAATATATATCGCTCCCAATTCGAACTTTGCACAATTTATAGATCACTTCGAAGATACTTTAACTGAATTATTCACTGAAACCGATGATATTATGATATTCGGTGAGTTCAATGTCAATATGTTCATGAATGATGATAACTATGTGGTTATTCTCTTAAGAATATAGCAGACACATTTGGTTTATTACGAATTATCAACCAACCCACTAAAATAGCTGGAAATTCTTCAACATTGATTGATTTGATTTTCACCAATTCTCAAGATGTTTCTGATTCTGGCGTTTGGGATCTTGATATATCTGATCACATGCTCGTTTACTGTTCCATGAATGTAGAACTGAAAGCCGGTCACGATTATTCGTTCAGTTTTAGGTCTCTACGTAACATAGACATGCTCTGTTTTCAAAGGGATCTCGAAAACATAGCATGGGACATTTTGTTCTCGATTGAAAACATTTTTTTAACAGATAACTTACAGCAACTTTACAACCATCATGCACCTGTTCGACATGTAGAAAACAAAAGAAAACCTTATAGTCCATGGATTACCGATAATACTCGCAGAATGCAAAAACTAAGGTATGAATCACTCAATCGTTATCGGTTAACAAAAATGGTAGAACATAGGGAACATTACAAAACTGAGAAATTTTGTCACTGCAGCTGTAAGGCCGAAAAAAAAGCGTATCTGAACTGTAATTCAAAAAAACTCAATTAAAAACAAAAATTGCAAGAAGTGAAAAAACTGAGCATTAAAAAGAAAAACAATGCTTGTTTACCAGAAGTACTACAAGAGGTACTGTACTGTACTTTGTTGACTCGTGTAAAAACTCTCGCCAGCCAAGCACTAGTTTACTAGATGAATATACTGCTGAAAAATTATTACATTTTTTTACATTCGTGGAGGTGAATGAAGAATTTGTTTTTCAAACTTTGAAAAGTATTAAGTCTAAGTCTAAGTCTCTAATAATACTATGCTGCCCCTTTATTGTGCCACATATGACCTATATAATTAACTCTTGTATACAAAACTTCTATTTTCCACAGTTATGGAAGGAAGCTCTCGTCAATCCTCTGCCGAAAATAAGTTCACCATCAGAGTTTTCATACTTACGTTCAGTTTCGATTCAACCTGTTCTTTCAAAAATGCTCGAAAGAGCCATTTAGTCTCAAATAGTACCATTTATCAACTCGATAAATTATCTACCAGCGAAACAATCAGGTTTTCGGCCAGATTACAGCTGTAGTTCTGCATTGACTGATGTGTCGGATAATGTTCCGAGGGGAATGGACGAAAGTAAGGCAACGATCCTGGTACTCCGAGACTACACAATAGCGTTCGATATGTTGAATCATAGAATTCTATTGGCGATTCTAAATCATATAGGCTTTTCTATTCGAGCTTGCGATTTGATAAAATCATTCCTAACGAACAGATTACAGAGTGTATAAAAATGAGACATCGACTGCGATTAATGTCACCACTGGTGTACCTCAAGGAAGTATTTTGGGCCCATTATTTTATGCAATTTATACGGCACAGTTCGTAAAGTCATTAACTCGTTGCATCATCTATAATCAGACAACACGCAGCTATACTTTTCCTTTAACCCATTGATACTGCAGCAGCAGAATATTCCCTCAACAATGATCTGCAAAAACTTTTTGGAATATCAAATGAACATTTATTGAAAATCAATCCAAAAAAAATCCATGGCTATACTTTTTTGCAATGAAAGAATCAGAGAAGAATTGCAGGCATCTTTGAACATTAGTATGGCTAATGAGATTATTTCTTTCAGAACATCCGCTAGAAATCTGGGTTTGATAATTGGCAAGAAACTCATATTCACGGAGCACCTCACGTCAAAGTTGAGAATTGGCTATGCTAATTTGAAAATGATCTACCCTCAGAGAAAATGTCTAAATCAAAGAAAGAACTATGTGATTGAATTGTCTCTCACACATGAACTTCTGTGATAGTATATATGGGCCGTGTTTAGATAATAGAGATTCCGGACGCAATCAGAAATTACAAAATTCTTGTTTGAGGTTGATATTTGGTATAAGGCGAAGACAGAGAGGGTCGCATATGTATAATCGAAGACTACTTCTTACAACCTGTTTCTTCTATAACATTTTAAAATACGAAAAACCGTTTCATTTACACAAAAAAATCATCTTTAGAAGTCATGTTCATAATGTCAATTTTCGTAGAAGAGGAATTATAACTTCCATAAGAAAGGGATTTTCAAACGTTCTTTCACATACTGCACGACAAATATTCTGAATAAATTCCGGATCACTGACTTCACAAAATCGATGGCATCATTCAAAAGAATAATAAAAGAGAATCTATCCCAACATTAGAATACTTAGTACTCAACTGGCAGTTTTCATAATATTCGAAATATAATAATCTTAGTCAATTACCATTTACTTAGATATAACCATTTTCCCTCTGGGCCTCAATCTCGAATCAGAAAGCCGACAATACGCCAATTGATCTGTATATCACAAAATGTATGTATTATTATACTGGAAATATAATAATCTTAGTCAATTACCATTTACTTAGATATAAGCATTTTCCCTCTGGGCCTCAATTTCGAATCAGAAAGCCGACAATACGCCAATTGATCTGTATATCACAAAATGTATGTATTATCATACTGGTCATGTAATTGTGAATTCGGATTAATACACGTCTCATTATTATTATTATTATCATTAATTTCAGATGATAGCTCCCTCAAAGGTTATTATTAGGCTCAATTTAATAAGTACTTGCTATCTGTTTTAATATTTAATTTCTTATATGTAAAACTATTGAAAACGCTAATCATTTATTGATACAATTTTTTCATGTTAGATGGATCACCCTAAAAAACTTTAAAATTCCATTTCGACAATAACTGATATTAGTTTTTCAGGTTAAGTTGTGAACATTGAATTTTTCAAAGTTTTTCCACCGCATGGTATATATTGTGTTGAATTCAGGATTTTTAAACCACGAGGCCCTGATCATGTCGTTTCAACTGAAAAATTGACATGAAGAATTGGAATACACGAATTTTAGGTAATTATTCGCAATCCAAGGTCTAATAAATTTCAAAAATTTATCTCAATTTTCAAAAACCCATACTGAATTGAAGTAACAAAAATATTCCAAAAAAAAAAAGTAATGAAATAGATACTAGTCACACGCCTATAGTTTTTAGTGTTATATTTAAATTATTACAATTTCATAAATCGTCATGTTTCTTGACAACAATGAATCAAAAACGTTTATTAATACTGCGAAAACCTAATTTCAAATACACGATTATTACGTTTAAAATTATACCTGCATTTTCTGTGAGATTTCAGAAAGCTATATTTTTTCCTGATCATTTAATAAATCATGCTCATCTCATATTAAGATGTCCGATGATAAGAGAATGTTGAATCTTACCTATTCAATTGGGTCAAGACTTCCTCGGGAATTGGGATCCTCTGACCTATCAGATTTTGTGAAGGTACTTGAGGGACCTGAGGAGGAACTTCGAACCGATGTGGACGTTCCTCTTCCATCTCAACCTGCGGTTGTCGCTCTTCTTGTTGCTGTTGTTGTACCTGTGCCTGCTCTTCCTTCATCTGCTCTTCTCGCAATTTCTGACTCTCAATGATTTTCTGAGCGATGATTTGTTGCACAATGTGATGCAAAATGGGGTTTGGGGGTAATTCATTCTGTTGAATCTGCGGTCCTTGCGATTGGATGGGCATCTGTGGTTGCACCTGAATTTGCATATGTACTCGTGGATACTGTTGTTCTCGTCTGGGTAGTTGCTGCTGAATCATGAGAGGGACTTGCTGTTGCAACATAGGTGGAACTTGCTGTTGCTGTTGGAACATGGGTGGTAACTGTTGTTGAATTACATGTGGCATTGGTGGCCTAATGTTTTCCATCTGGTACATGGGAGGGCGTACTGGTGGTCGCATTTGCATTTGTTCTGGCACTCGTTGAATCATTGGGGAAATCTGTTGTGGCATGTGGGTGCGGAAGGGGGTTTGCGGGATTGGGATCATGACTGGTTGAATCATAACAATATCTGGGCTAAAATTATCCTTTTAGTTGATGTTTTTTCATTGATTTAATATATTGTTTCATCTGAATTGATGGCGTACCATTGATAATTGATACAAATACCAACAATATCTGGGCTAAAATTTTCCTTTTAGTTGATGTTTTTCCATTGATTTAATATATTGTTTCATCTGAATTGATGGCGTACCATTGATAATTGATACAAAAAACAACAAAATATTTGAAATTTCTCTTTTTTATTGCCTGTATTGCTTTTTTTTTAGAAAAAGATAATGTACCAACTGTACGGGTATTTTTTGTAAGCTGAAAAATGAAAAGTTCAGATGTAGTGAATGGAAGTGAATGGATTTATAATAACATGGCTGTTTTCTCAGTAGATTTTCAAAGACGTCACACCTTTGTTCAATACAATTGTATACCATTTTTGGATTACTCGAATACTTGCCATGAATATCTCACAACTTTTTCATTAAACTCTACTGCAATGGGTACCTATCAGCATACCGTTGCTACCGGGGACTTTGTTCAATCATGGGATAGAAATGCGTGTCCGTATTCAAAAGCCTATCAGAACTCCTGACCTCACTTTGGACTCTTTATTCTGTGAGATCATTTTAAAATTGAAATTCATAGGAAAGGCTCTACTGTTATGAATACCTTGGAGAGTTAATAGAAGTTGCAAATCATATATGGCAGAGGACTGCAGATTTAAAGGTTCAATCAATTTAAAAACGAGCACAAAAATTCATTGAAGAAAGAGGTGTCGTCCTCTAGTTACTACTGAGGTAACATTGACTAATCATTTTGCAAAGAAATGATTCGAACGAATAATTTGATCATGAATACTGGTGTGTTTGCATATGGCAGGAATAAAGATCACTTCGACAACGACTATCGTGACTATCGCCTTTGATAATGTCTGCTGCAGTTGCAGACGAGACCACAGGTCCAAAAACCTACAGACCAAGGCTGATAAACCCGGAAACAGTAAATAAAATGAGTTGATGTTGATCTTCATCCCACCCCTCACAATTCTCCTAGTTTTTCATTTTCTATTAGAATGAAATCAAAAATTTCTGACATGATTTTAGTTCAGATGCATTGGATAATTACTCAGTGGAGTTAAAAATAATAAACTACGCCCATGACACTGGAAAAATTTCATATTAATTGCACCACAAATACGTTTGTGAAAAAATTCATTATGCCACATTTAATTTCTGTCAGAAGAAGTGAAATACGAACATGAAGTGGGCATAACCTCATGCTAGGGGAAAACACCATTCATTAGCATCGACCTCGCTCATGAATGGGACACGAGGGGCCCTACAGGGGTCTAAAGAAAAGCAAAGCTTTGACATCTGATGAAGAAACTGTTTTCGTCTGTCTCCCTGCAGCTTTTAATGCAGGCGACTGGATAGTGTTACTGCTCAAATGGGTTGGTTCATGATTTACTACTACACAGCGCTTTTTCTATCCGTCATAAATCTGTACAATAATTCAACATTGAATTTATTGGAGCCTCTGGAGACACCCTACATTTTGTTTTATAAGAGAGAGGACATTGTTAGATCAAGATCTTCAGATGAAGTGGTGCTGCAGGTTTTTCCGGGTTTTCCTGCAGCCGAAAAAGCACATGCGCCACTGGAATCAATGAAGTCGCCTCGGAGCGCCAATTAATTTTTATTGTTGTTTTTATTTTATTTTTATCGTTGTTTTAATAAAAGTTTAAAAGTTATATGAGCATTAAAGTCAACAATTCAACTTTTGATATCATTTCAGCTCAACAAAAGAAGTCTTGACTAGAAGTGAGCATGATGACTTTTCTTCCGAAGCGTATTCAATAATATCAAAAATTTATAATTCCACTCATCAATGGTTCCCAATGGCGAAGAAACCATGACGCTTGATAGATTTTGGGAAAAAACTTTTGGCCTTCTACTTCTCTACCAGTGTCAGAGGAAACAAATGTCTGTAAATCCTAACAAAACTGAATAGTTTCCTTCACCAAAAAAAGGAATCTGGATGATTCAGCTCCACTCTCCTTCAATGGCGAGGTTATCTAGGTGTCATTCTTGATAAAATCTCACCTGGAACACCCACTTGAAAAAGATTTTACATAAAGCCAGATTATCTTCATAGACATGTCAAAAGAATTTTGGAAAATTTTTGGGCTCACACACACACACACACACATTACATATAACGTATACAATGTATACCGTGTGACACAGACTTTTTTTCTTTATTCTTTCACCAATTTTTACGGAACTATTAATATTGATTATGCTTTCAAAGAGGCACTTTTTGACGTAATGTGAGATTTTTTTCAAATTCCGGTTTTTCCGAAAATTTTATCAACGTTTAATTTTCAAATATAACACCCTGTATATAATTACATTTTTGAAATCTACACAATTTTCTGAATCCAATTATACCCTATACTTGAAATTTTAAGTGTTAAGACGCTCGGTTTATTTTTCGATCTAGAGGGACATGAACGTGAAAAGAATTAATATTATTTCAATTGAGTCAACACAACGAATCAACATCATTGTATGGAATTAAACTTAGATACTCATTTTCTCATATTGTAATTCATTTAAGAAACAAAACTTTTTAAAATACACAAATAAATCATAACAGCTGTTCGAAATGTAGACCGTCAACATCCAGGCATTTTCGAGCCCGTTTCGCGGTATTTTTAATCACACTGGCCAATTGTTGACGAGTTATATTCTGAATGGCTTGTCTTACTCGCACTTTCAGGTCCTCGCGGGTTGTTGGGGAAGTTGCGTAGACAATATTTTTCAAGTAACCCCAAATGAAAAAGTCTAACGGTGTTAAGTCGGGTGATCTAGCAGGCCACCTAATGGGACCATGTGTTCCAATCCATTGCTCCCCAAATCTACCACGAAGATATCACAATCTACTATTATGGGGAGGTACTCCATCCTGCTGAAATAACTGTCAATTTTTCAGATCAAGCGGTAAATCTTCTAAATATTCTTCAATTTCATTTCTGAGAAAACCTAGGTATCTATTACCACTCAAAGGACCATCAAATATTATGGGGCCAATTTTCCTAACCCCCACTATTCACAGCCAGACATTGTATCCAAAACGTTCTTGAAAATTTCCCTGCCGAAACAAATTCTGATTTTCTTGTGCCCAATATCGGGTATTCTGTCTATTAAAGAAACCACGATTGGTGAATTTTGACTCATCTGAGAATACACCTGTTTTTAAAAACTCATTATTTTGCTGCACATTATTGTGTAGAACCCATCTGCAATATTCCACCCTTCTTACGCTATCGGCGTCATACAGATGTTGGTGAAGTTGATATTTGAAAAATCGATACTTGTGTTTTTTACAATTCTTCTTACACTTTCACGACTGATATCCAACTCAAATGCCAGCTGCCTAAGAGATTCTGTTTTATCGATTTCCAACCTCATGAGGACATTTTTTTCCATTTCTTCAGATATAATAAAATATTCATTACCCTCATTATGATTAGGCTCGCGTCTGAACTCCTCTTCAAGACGCTTGAAATAATTTCTAGCCGGACATTGTCGTGCGGGATATCGCCCGAGTATAACCGGTGAGCCGCAACTGCATTTTGCCGACATTCCCCATAAATCAATAGCATATCTACTTTCTCGTTTCTGTTATACACTTGTGGCATTTTTAATTTATTTCTGTTAGAAATCCGATTGACAACAATGTGTTCAGTAACTGGCAAACAATGTCAGTTTATAGAAATGTCAAAAATTGTTTGTAATTCATAGCCACCTCATTAACTTACCTTTATTAAATTGCGAAAATACTCAATAATTTTTATGGCTCTCTAGATCGGAAAATAAACCGAGCGTCTTAACACTCATAATATCAAGTATGGGGTATCATTGGATTCAGAAAATTGTGTAGATTTCAAAAATGGATTAATATACAGGGTGTTCTATTTGAAAATTAAACGTTGATAAGATTTCCGGAAAAACCGGAAGTTGAAAAAATATCAAATTACGTCAAAAAGTGCCTCTTTGTAAGCATAATCAATATTAATAGTTCCGTACAAAAAGATGAAAGAATAAAGAAAGAAAGGGGGGTGTACCATAAGTCTGTGTCACACGGTATATGTGATTATTGTCAGATCAATAATTATGTATGGAACAGTTGTCTGGTGACTCTACATACTGGCTTGCCAGCCATTTTCTGGTGCCATTAGCACCACACTATCAGTAGCCATGGAAATCCTTCAAGATCTATTCCTTTCTATATCTTTCTGAAGGGAGAAGTTAAAAGGATATACAGAATTGTGCATATTACCAATTGCACAAAACAGGCTTATGAGTAGCGTACCAGACTATTTACCTGCAGGTCACTGTTGTCTGAATAATCATATTCAGAGACTTGGACTGTCGGAAGACAGTGCGTGTAAGATGATGCAACAGCAGAGCTCATACTTTGTGCCTGCACCAATAAGATAATCCGCTTTGTGAAGAAACTGGACTTGTTCGATTGAGTTTGGAAAGGTGTGAGCCACAATGAATCTTTGCGGATTGCAGTGGAGTTCGAATATTTTCACTTACTTTGGATTGGACCCATTTGCCTACTTATATGTGAGGTGGGAAACTTCCGAGTGAAATAACTGTTTTCGATATAATTCATGATAGATTTAGGAATCACACGTTAAAAGGTAAGACCTCGTGAATCCTTAGCTCGCACAAGTTTCGACTTCTGAGGGTTGTCGTTCGTAGGGGTGCGACAGCTGGTTAACGGAAAACAGATTTTTTTTTAGAAAGTTGAATCAATCTTTCCCTGAAATTTTTCGAACAACACAAACACTGGTTTCACACAAAAGAACTAAATGCTTTTTTGCGTCATTATTGATGTAATAAACAACAAAGAGAGTTTTGTAATTTTAGTGTGTGGGAGAAGTTGTTGCGTTGGATTCAATCTATATCAAAGATTCTAGTTCTACCTTACAGTGGAGTTATTGTGCCATTACTTATGAATAAAAACAGGGTAAATAATCTTCATTCTTTTGAAAAACAAATGAAATAAACGTACTTCTGAACAGTTCCACTTTCACAAATGATCACCATCCTTTCTCCACTGAGTTTCTCAAATCTTGGATTGGTCGTCAAGTTGAGTCCGAAAGGCAATGTGATGGTCTTAGGTTGATGATCCACAAACTCTTCAGATTTCTTTTTCTCAACAATACAATTCATCTTGGATTTCTGGTTTTTCTCTAAGAGAGATCCAATGACGTCTTCGAGCTCCATCTGAACGGGTAGTTTCAAGTGGACCTCTTGCTCGCTCTCGTCGGATTCGGAACTATCTGAATTCTCAGAGCTCGATTCTGTATCATCGATGCTGTTAGTTTCTATTTCTTTGGTATTCTTTGGAGGTTCATCAGTAACGAGAGGTTCTGCTTGATGTTTGGGTGCAATCGGTGCTTCCTGTAATTCAAACAGAAAATAAATCATATATAATTTTTTTTCCATAAATCAAAAATGTCAAGACATTATTATTTTCATCTAAATTATAGTCCTTTCGTTTTTATTTCCAACCACAACAAAATTATTACTGTTTTCTGTCACATTTTCACGGCTAATTCCTAACAAAAAATTTTAAAGTGAAAATTATACTAATATTGACATTTTGGAAAATAACTTTTACTAGAATTTGAGAGAACAAAACAAATTCATGCCATGTATTACTTAGTACTATATGATAGAACTTCTAGCTCATTTTTCCTTTCCTTTAATATCTTATATACTTTTCCGGGAATGACGAGATGAGATAAGTGTGCTGTCGTCAGCAAAGCAATATATTGGATCTTGGTTTTCCAATAAGTCGTTGATATATAATAAAAAGAGGGTTGGAGACAATATGGATCCCTGGGGAACACCAGCGTTGATGGTAAAAGTATTCGAGAGATATCCATCGATGGCCACTTGCAGGGAACGTTGTTTCAGGAAGCTGAAGAGCCATACAAAGAAATGATCCAAAAAGCCATAGCATCGAAGTTTGGCCAGCAAACCCTCATGTCACATATGGTCAAAGGCCTAAGAAATATCAAGCGCAACGGCTACGGAGGCACATCTTCACCGGCAGAAGGAAGTTGCATATCTCAATGAGGATCTAGAAGTGAAATTAACCAGATTCAATTCAATGCCACAAAAACCTGGGCGTCGGTTTTCTCCAATAAGATACGTCTCCGAACCTGATATAATAATGTGAGGTCAGACAATTCCGCTTTCTGTTTCGATAAGTTTGTTAGGAGTTAAAATGGGCACCAATATGTCTTGGCACAATCATGTCGCTGGAGTTGCAGAGGCTGCTTCTCAAAAGCTTGGAACACTGTTCCGAATCAGTTTACTGTACACACCTTAGCAACTTTTGATGCTTTATAAAGTTCAGATCACACCTTCTTTGGAGTATTGTTTTCGTGTATGGAGCTCTGCCCCCAAACATACCTTGAAGTTGCTGGATTCCATCCAGAAAAGAGCCATCCGCCTGATTGGAGACGCGATCGTCACGTGCAACTTTGAGCATCGAAGAAAGGTTGGCGATTCGTCTCTCTTCCATAGATACTTTCACTGGAGGTGTTCAAGTGACTTGGCACATTTGATTCCACCAAGAGCGGGCATATCAGAAATACGCGACGGACTGTGGCTGCTCATCGTTTTGAGGTTCAACTCAGTACACCTCGAACTGTTCAAAAACTCTTTAATCTGGAGAACTGCGTTTATGTGGAATGAACGTAGTTCTCCCGCTACTTCCGCACAGGCACCGCTCTGAGGGGGGCCTTAAGGATTTTCCTGTAGTGCTTGTGTTTTGTCCTTAGAAAAAATACTTTTGATGTTAATTTTTTTAAATTCTCCGCTTTAATGGATCAAATTCTTTATTATCTATATAATAGATAATACAGTTCACATGCTTTATTAGCTATTATTTCCTTATTCCATATTTTAAAAATATTCTTTTCAAATCTACGACTCCCAGACGATTACATCAACTAAATTATTGTATTAAAATAATTTCACTTGATTTGAGAGTATGAATCAGGTCATTTACTGCCAATGTACGAATTACCCACCGTAGCAAAATAATGAAAGTTTTTCAAGTTATTATCATGAGTTTCTCTTTAAATAGGATTATAAGAAAATAGTTTTGATATCAGGAAGCACAAATGGATATTTTTTATACTGCCTGCTGTTGTACCCAAATTGTTTTCATCGGTCACGTAATCAAAAATCTTTCGTCGAAAGTTTATAGTGAGCACTGACATATCCAAAGTTTTGTTCCTTGAAATATGGATCATGCGCAGCAAGACATCCGTGAGTTCTTTTGATCAGAAAGTCTACACGAGAATGTGAATGAAATCACTGAGAAGCTTAGTCCAATATTTATAAAATTGATGAAAAATTGAGCGTCACAAATTGTTATCTCCATACAGTTGAAATTTAAAACTTCTTTGAACTAAGGATCATTGGGGTTTTACTATTTTTACCATTTTTGATATGACAGTTGGTAGTGACATGTCCTAATGCTCATGCATCTAACAAAATGGTGCTCAAATATATTGACAACTTTTCTTATTTTCACATATCATAAGTATTTTTACATTTTCAACAATCCATCCATGTATTTTTAGTGTTGTTTCATCAAACATTAATAATATGTTATAACATTCTAAATGTTTTTTGCGGCTTATACATACAATATAACATTACTTCTCGCAAGTATCACTTCACTGGTTTGAATTTGTTTTTTACAATTTTTATATCAATNTATTAAAATCTAGAAAGCTTGAAATTTTCCACCACTTTCAAACTCCTTTTTAATCTTACATTTATGAACATATAATTACAATAAATTAAAGGCAATCAAATATAACATTGTTGCCACTCAGCTTTTTTATGAGAATAATGAGTCAACTTTGGCAAAAAGTGAATTTCAGCAAATAACTGACTAAACCCAGTTAGACGGAGGCTGAGAATATCACAGTGTTATTCTTTATAGCCTTATTATCAGTGGTAAATAATAAATGTGAACTATGATTCCAATTACGTTACGTATTCTTTTACATGAGGTCAATCAACTCGGAAGTTGAAAATTTATTGAATTTGTGGAGTAATCATTCTTTTTGACCAACTGAAATTTAGATGTACGGCAAACATTCATTGACTAAAAGTTTAGTTGAGAAGCTTTTATGGTGCAAAATTGAGTATTTCGATGAATTATAATTTAGTTTTTATTTGTATTCATTATTGGACTTCGATAAACTACTGAAGTGGTTCAAAGTGTTCGTTTATGTAAGGTATGTTCAGAAATTCTTTGGCTAGATATTGTAAATATGAAACAATCTTGAGAGCAACTCGGACCAAGTTTGTATACAAGACAATCCTATGTTTCAAAATAGTAACAAAAACTCAGCGAACCGGTCAGTTAATCTCAAAATCATTGTAAAAAAACACGTATGGTTTGATAATAAAATATAATTACACAATTATATGAAAATAAACATATTTTCTTCATGCCTGAATATATGTTTATGTTTGCACGAGGTCTCACAATGCATATGAAGTGGGAGCTTAACATTGAAGTAGCCACCAGAATTATTATTGCATCAATTGATGGAAATAATAGCACAGCAATTGAAACCACTCGCGGCTTCACCCGTTTCCGTACATAACCGTTCGTTTCATATCACTTTTAGGTGACGTAACATGCATGATAAAATATCCTCATCTCAAGGTTAGCCACTTTGCAACTGGCTAAATAAGTGTGGCCTCTTGAAGGTAACGTAACAAAGTATGAAGATTACGGTAATTGTTTTTTATCAATTCTCAAACAAAACAAAACTTGAGTTCATAACTTGAAAATCATTAAATGAGTGAATTGGTCAGAAAATATAAGGAAAACTCAATATGCAGATTGATGAGGTTGGAGTTTTCAAAAATCAAATAAATCTAAATCAGAGAGGAAGTGATTTATTGAAATAATTTGTGGTTTTTGTGAATACTCAACTAACGTTGGAAATACACCTCATCTCATTGTTGTAAGTGACTGTATGAGTAACGGCTGTTTGCAGAAATACAGTCACACATTTGCTAATGTGATTTAAAAAAAAAGTACTATCATTTTCCGAAATTTTGCAACGTTTTCAAAAGGGTATCAAACTTCCTGTTAATTTTTTCAGTCTTATTATAAAATCTAATAGTGACCAAGCGAAAATACTCACTTTTTTCTGAGAAATCCAGAAGTGGCTTTTTTACAACTACTAGCCTCGAAAATGTTTCATTTGCTTAAAAAACTATATTGAACATATTAAATGAGTCTATGATAAGATTATTAAAAAAATTTTTTTTTACAATATTTGAACATATTATTTCAAGAGTATTTAATGTATATTTCATGAAGGGCATCATAAGGTTAACGATGTATCAAAAATAAATTTGTTGGATTGGTTTTAATATTCAGAAAACTCCACATTTTTCTTCCTACAGTGATTAAAAGTCACTTTACAGTGCATTTCTGTCCCCTCCTTTTAGTTTTGAACGGGTCAACTGAAAAAAATTGAAATTAGGAATAATGAAATAAATGCATGAATACTTTATTTTGAAGTGAAATTGACAGATGAAACTTTCATGATAGCGATTGGGCGCCATCTGGGAAAAAAATTAAATGGAAAGAGGGATCTTGTGATACATTATTTTGAAGCTTCTGATGAAAACTTCACAACTCTAGAATATGAAGTGAATATCTTCAACTACTACAAAATGGCGAAACATTTAATAAGTTCCTGAAGACAAACACATTAATATCGATATTTCTAGAAATAATCCTATTTATGTGCCATATGGCAATTCCAACAACCCAAAAAGGTTTGTTAAGTTATTTTTTGTTTATAAAAACGACAAAAAATGTCAGTACGACAATGAACATCATTGTTCAGTTAGGATATTCTCATTTAGTTTTAGGTTTTACTAGAAGAAATCGACCACGTCAACAATCTCTAAAATGGTTAATTCTCGTCCATTGGAAGAGAAAATTGAAGCGATTTTTATTTACGGTGCGACGCGTAACTTTCACGAGACCGAAGGGCTTTTCAATGAACGTTTTCCGAATCGCCCTATCTGTAGAAAATATTTGAGAGAACTTGTATTCAAACTCACAACTACCGGTAAGGTAGTTGTGAGTTTGAATACAGGTCATTCGTCCACTTCGGGAATGTTTGTGAGGTGTCTCCTTCTACTATGTGGAGACTTTTGAAGAGCAATAGGTATCATCCATACAAAATTAAAATGGTACACCAATTAACTGAAGATGACCCTGATCGAAGAACAGAATTCTGCGAAATCATGACGGAAACCACTTCAAGATATCCTACCTATTTCTACGATTTTTTTTAGTGACGAATGTACATTTTTTCAAACGGCAAAGTTCGCAGACAAAATTGAAAGGGTGGTTTTGTGATACATCTTTTTGAAGCTCCTGATAAATGCTTCACAACTCACAACCCTAGAATATAATGTCGATATCTTCAACTACTACAAAATGGCGGCACTTTCAATAATTGCCTGAATACATTGACATTTAACTACATAATATGAGGTAATAAGCTTGAGGTCAGTTCAGAAGATGCTCGAAATGGTTGCCTTGAACTTTTTGACATATGACAAGCCTATCCGATATTTCACGCCGAACATTTTCGATCACAGTAACGTCAATATTACTCCAATATTTATTATTCTCTGCCGTATATCCAATATTGGAGCAGATTCAGTTTCGTACAACTTTTGCTTCAAATAGTCCCTTGAAGAATCCAAAGGTGTCAAATCTGGCGAGCGGGCTGGCCATTCTGTAGGACCTCGACGGCCAATCCAACGACCGGGAAAAGTAGTATCCAAATTGTTTCTTACATGTCTGGAGTAATGTGGTGGTCTTCCATCCTGTTGGAATACAATAACCATATCGAATTCATTAGGATTCGCTTCGACAATTTCAGTGATGAGAGGGTCAACAGTAGTTTCCGGCATATTTGAATACAGTTCGCCTGTTAAATTTTTATCAATAGAGGTCCTACAATATGGTTTCCCAATATTCCTGCCCAAATGTTAATTTTTTCTGGATATTGGGTATGTGTTTCCCGGAAAACGTGAGGGTTGATGTCACGGCAATTTTGTCTGCGAACATTGCCGTTTGAAAAAATGTACATTCGTCACTGAAAAAAATATCGTAGAGATAGGTAGGATGTCTTGCAATGGTTTCCGTCATGATTTCGCAGAATTCTGTTCTTCGATCAGAGTCATCTTCAGTTAATTGGTGTACCATTTTAATTTTGTATGGATGACACCTATTGCTCTTCAAAAGTCTCCACATAGTAGAAGGAGACACCTCACAAACATTCCCGGAGTGGACGAATGACCTATGGGCTTTTCGTTATGTACCTTACCGGTAGTTGTGAATTTGAATACAAGTTCTCTCAAATATTTTCTACAGATAGGGCGATTCGGAAAACGTTCATTGAAAAGCCTTTCGGCCTCGTGAAAGTTACGCGTCGCACCGTAAATAAAAATCGCTTCAATTTTCTCTTCCAATGGACGAGAATTAACCATTTTAGAGATTGTTGACGTGGTCGATTTCTACTAGTAAAACCTAAAACTAAATGAGAATATCCTAACTGAACAATGATGTTCATTGTCGTACTGACATTTTTTGTCGTTTTTATAAACAAAAAATAACTTAACAAACCTTTTTGGGTTGTTGGAATTGCCATATGGCACATAAATAGGATTATTTCTAGAAATATCGATATTAATGTGTTTGTCTTCAGGAACTTATTAAATGTTTCGCCATTTTGTAGTAGTTGAAGATATTCACTTCATATTCTAGAGTTGTGAAGTTTTCGTCAGAAGCTTCAAAATAATGTATCACAAGATCCCTCTTTCCATTTAATTTTTTTCCCAGAAGGCGCCCGTTCACCATCTTGAAAGTTTTATCTATCAATTTCACTTCAAAATAAAGTATTCATGCATTAATTTTATTCTGCCAAATTTTAATTTTTCGAGTTGACCTGCTCAAAAATGAAAGGGGGGTACATTAAAGACATGTTATGTGGGATTTGTTCCATCGAACTATTTTCAGACTTAAAGGAAATGAAATATTTTAAGAAGCCCTATAGCTTTAACTCCTCCGAATATTTATGGAAACAATATGTTAACTGGATTATTGAATTGTACATTTCATTGAACAATAGAATTTTTTTATTGACATTTGAATATTTGCAGATGTATGATTTCTCTTCCTCAGAGCAACATTTTATAGAAACACACTTTTAATGTATTGTGCTAAATATTTAAATGTATGATTTATTCATAAAATGAACCATTTTATTGTTTTGTGATTATATTTCTAGTGAAGGTCTCCAAAAATATTTTAAATTTCAAGTTACTTGTCTCTTTTTTCACTTATGAAGATAATCCCCTATTTATTTAAAACATGAGAATTCCGAAACATCACTTTGTTCATAAAAAGTGGAAGACACTAAAATTACATGTTCTATTGATCAAATCCTCATGACTGAGCTGGAATCGCAACAAAAATCCAGTTTTGAAGTTATTATCGCGATAGAATGAACTTGATTCCGATGGTCTTGAAAATCGTGAGAGAAAATGAGTGAATCGTTTTTCAAACATTCAAAAATACGAATCACAAAAAAAAATAAAATCAAGGTAATTTCTCATAATTCAGAAATTTCATGTCGAAACCATTATACTTTCCTTGGTTTTCAATTTCTAAATAATCGAATGAAATGTTTATGACTTTGATTGTTCAAAAAAGTTCGCATCCATTGTGAAATACTGCAAACTTTTTGTTTGTCATCAAATCTGAAATATCTGGTATATTCACCTGAATAAGTGCTTCCGGCTGTAAAGGTCCTTGGATCCTGTCGGCGGCTTCTCCTAAAAATTCCAGTTCCTGTTCAAGGTGCCTGCAGGAAGCATTAGCTTTAACGTAAGCTGAAGCCAATAAAAAGCTTCCCAATATCACAGAACAAACCACCACTGTTACAGCAATGATTTTAGCTATATGCACACTCGAACTTTGTGATCTATGGTAGGCCTAGAACAAATAAGAATTATTGGATAATATAAACATATTCTGAAAAGAATTCATTTCATTGATATTTTTATAGCATATCGTCCTTTAGTATTCAGTATAGGAACATTCTCTGATTTGTGAGAATTTCATTTTGTGGATATCTTCGCATACTGTGGTTGCCTGGACCAACATGAGTACGTTGCAGTTTTCATACAATTATTGAAGAAGTTTTGATGTTTTTCAAATTCTTTTTCTTTCATCTAATATAGTTTCTCCACCTCCATTCTAAATATCTGCAGAGTTATAAGTGTTTCGAATAGGAAATAAATGGATTACCTATATGTATACCGCACCAGTTCAAAGTTAGGGCTATGGCATCACAAACGTGGAGGCGAAAATCACTTCGTAACCCTCTCTCTGAAGAAGAACCCTTATCGCATCTCTGGATGGAGATTGGGAAGTTGATAATAATAAAAATAATGATAAATCGCCTTCACTGATAATAATTTGTTATTCCGATATAATATCCTTTGAGTTGGAATGTATAGGTAATAAAATGAATGAGATACCAAATATCAAGGAATATTTTTTCCATCAAATCAGACTCCAGAGTTGTTGAATTACATCAGGATATTGGAATATTTCGATCTTGAAGGGATCAACTCCCCTTTTCATTCTATATTTCAGGTAATAAGACATTGTCTTTTAATTTTTTCACACAAAACTGGTTCAATCATGTAATGATATATCTATTTCACTTTGAAAATATGTTCGATTGCAATTCATTAAATTAACGTAAATCCGAAATCTATTGATTCCCAAAAAGCCTAAATCTCATTATTTTGAACATCACACCCCAAACTTCACGATCAAAAAATACAAAGAATCCAAATTCCTCCAAAACCTCTCTCCCCCAAAGAGTTCCACGGTTGTGAGGATAGGGTGATGAAACTTAGGGTATTAGATTTGATATATTAGGATTCATAAAAACCTAATCGAATAAAATTTCAATTGACAAAATATCTGAATAATTAATTCACTTTGAGGTTTGAAGGAAAAAGTTTCAATTTCAGACACCTGAGCGATTTCTGCCCGAAAGTCGATTAGCGATGTAAATGAAACTCGAAAATAGCAAAAAACCTGTTTCAGATTTTTTTTAAATATTATAATCCAGAAGTGGAATCTTCAGATGAGTATAGTTGTTTCACTCTTAAAATATGCCGAATGTTACAAAATCAGTATTGGATTTGGATACCAATTTTTATCTTGCCTTAAATAAAGGTCACCATTATTTGCTTTGGATACCATCAATTTACGTATATTGAAATGCTTCCTTATCTATAATATTTGCATCCATAATTACTGTATTATCGATAATAAGGTTTCGTTAGTAATTGGAAAAATACAAAATGAAAATATTATTGTTGGTCGGTCCGAAGTGTTGGAATTGTTTGAAAACACTGTTTAAAACTTTATGCAAACATATGTTCGATTGATTTATTCACCTAATCATTAATTATTCTCAAATTATTTATTACTCATAGCACATTTCAGACATTAATGTTCGCGTTCGTCAACGTTATTAGTTGCTAATAAGCGACCAGGTTAATGTTTGCCTACTTCGCATAACGTCAACCGTACCAGGTACGACAGGTACAGGTAGGCGACGTTATGAATCTAAAGAAATAAATAAGTTTATTTATTATTCAATTAGCTGTAGCATTATATTTCCATGAAAACGTGGTCACGGTCGTCTGTTAAGCGCAAATTAAAAGTTCATCTTGATATTTCATAAAAAGCGAATGAGTTTTAATTTCACTCGAAGTCGAAGATTTATAGAATTATGGAACGACATGGGTTCAAGATAGAAAGGCTTATTACTTCTCCTTCATTTCGAATGGACCAATAGATAAATACATCGCAATGGACTCATCAATGAATTTAGGAATTCGTCTTTTAATTCGAATAATTTATTGAATGGTTTTTGGCTTTATTTTTTCCAGATTTAGAGTTTTACTATAAGAATTTGTAAAAATCCGTAAAAATTTGTAAGAACACTCACATGAGCAGTGGAAAAGTGAGTTTTTAAAGGATTCCTAGGATCATTCATGGAAGTAAAAATGATGCTCATGCTGGTAATAGTTTTGAAGACAAATTTCAAGGAGCCATTTCTATATATATCAATTTCAAAAGGTTTTAGGAAACTGGTTTGTAACGGTTAACAGTAACGTATCAACGAGTCGAGCTGGTTAACCACTTAGGATGAATTACTTAGATAATTTTTGCGAATTTGATCTACGCAAGGTAGATCTTCACTCCTGAGACCAGATTAATATTTTGTTTATAATCAAGGAAAGACTAGAAGTGGAAAAATCTTCCAGACGAGCCGGGTTTCGTATACCACTGAATGATGGAAGTATTGTCACCCCTTCTTATAAGATTTGTATCGAGAAATGAAACACTGATGTTGCCATCCTCATTTTCGGTGGTGAATTGTCAGGGTTGGTCATAGTTGTTGAATACTTGAAGGACCTCTTCGGTTTCATGTTGCCATCTTCACATTTTTTAAAAAGGGTACTTATATGAAAAAAAAATCTAACCAAGATGGAACCAGATCATCCATAACTTACCTACTGTGCGAGGATGGGAGACACAGAGCTACCCTAAGGCATACATAGTATTTGTTTTTAGAATCTATTTCAGTAACTGAAAACGGTGGTTTCAGAAAGAAATTTAACTAGGTTGATTAAACACCTCGATACGTGTTTCGATCACCAAGTGATCATCTTCAAGAGAAAGACTAAACTGAGGAAGATTAAACTGAGTTTAATCTTCCTCTTGAAGATGAAGAAAATAATACTAATATTGACATTTTGGAAAATAACTTTTACTAGAATTTGAGAGAACAAAACAAATTCATGCCATGTATTACTTAGTACTATATGATACAACTTCTAGCACATTTTTCCTTTCCTTTAATATCTTATATACTTTTCCTGAAATGACGAGACGAGACAAGTGTGCTGTCGTCAACAAAGCAATATATTGGATCTTGGTTTTCCAATAAGTCGTTGATATATAATAAAAAGAGGGTTGGAGACAATATGGATCCCTGGGGAACACCAGAGTTGATGGTAAAAGTATTCGAGAGATATCCATCGACGGCCACTTGCAGGGAACGTTCTTTCAGGAAGCTGAAGAGCCATACACAGAAATGATCCAAAAAGCCATAGCATCGAAGTTTGGCCATCAAACCCTCATGCCACACCTGGTCAAAGGCCTTAGAAATATAGAGCGCAACGGCTACGGAGGCACATCTTCACCGGCAGCAGGAGGTTGCATATCTCAATGAGGATCTAGAAGTGAAATTAACCAGGTTCAATTCAATGCCACGAAAACCTGGGCATCGGTTTTCTCCAATAAGATACGTCTCCGAACCTGGTATAATAATGTCAGGTCAGACAATTCCGCTTTCTGTTTCGATAAGTTTGTTGGGAGTTAAAATGGGCACCAATATGTCTTGGCACATTCATGTCGTTGGAGTTGCACAGGCTGCTTCTCAAAATCTTGGAACACTGTTTCGAATCAGAAAACTGTACACACCTTAGCAACTTTTGATGCTTTATAAAGGTCAGTTCAAACCTTCTTTGGAGTATTGTTTTCATGTATGAAGCTCCGCCCCGAAACATACCCTGAAGCTGCTGGATTTCATCCAGAAAAGAGCCATCCGCCTGATTGGAGAGGCGAACGACACGTGCAACCTTGAGCATCGAAGAAAGGTTGGCGATTCGTCTTGGCATATTTGATTCCACCAAGAGCGGACATATCAGAAATACGCGACGGACTGTGGCTGCTCATCGTTTTGAGGTTCAACTCAGTACACCTCGAACTTCACTGTTCAAAAACTCTTTAATAATATTTATTTTCTTATAAGAATTGGGAAGTTGAATAATTAACTCTTGCAGGTCGATTTAAAATACTACAGGAATTTTACAAAGAGTGTGCGAATCAATGAGAATAAAATTGGATGCGTGCATACAGGCAGGAGGTGGACATTTCGAACATTTATTGTGATTTTGAATTAGATTTATATGCATCCATTAATTTAAATCAAAATATCTCGAAAACGGCTGCCTGTAGCGACTTTTGACAAGTAAACCTTTTTCAGGTAAAAATGATAGAGGAATCGATTTTTCTTCTAGAAAATGTGATACATACATGTACCACAAAGTTGTGACTTCCCAAAAGAGACCAAGACCTGTAGGTGGTGCCCCACCTACAGGTCTTGCCAAACTAAGTGCCAAACTAAAAGCAAATTTGAATTTCTCATATTGAATTTCTTCAATCGTCCAGATACGTCATCTACCGAATATATAGAAACTAAGCCAGATGGTGAAACAAAAACGAAGTTTTGTCAGCTGTTGTCGTATCATTGTGGTTTCTTGTGCTCCCAGTGAGTGAAAGTAATTTATTTTACCTATTCATCAGTTTCTCGTGTCTATAATGAACTCACTAAGATATTGATCTCACAATTTCACAGTTAAATAACTCAATACACGAAAAACCCACAACAATAAACATAAACCATGTTCAACATTCAGTTATTCCGATTAGCTTGTTATGGATGTTTGAGTAGCGCCATCATCGGTAGAAATTTTTCCCTATCGATGCGAGACCATACATAATCCTGCAAAAGTTATTTGAATGATACTATTCATGGTATTTTTTACCATTAGTCTACAAGAAACTGCATTTACTAATAGACCCTTGAATTGACCTCTCTTGCCAACTAGACGAAATAGTGAAACTTTAAATCTTTGATCTCATGTTGTGTAACACAACATCATATAAAATCACTAAATTCTTAACTTGCATTTATCACCCTACAAACTACTCACAATACAGGGCACTATTTTCTTCACTCGAAATCGTCATTGATTGTTTGCAAAATCAATCACTTCAGTGCTGAATTCAATCAAAACTTTGATCTCATGCGGTTAGAGATAACGTCACATAAAATCACAAGATTGATTTGTTGTGTAAATCGCCCTACAAGCGCCACACAATACAGGGCACTATTTTGTTCACTTGTGATCATCACTGATTTTTTACAAATCAATCACTCCAGTGCAGAAATTCCTGTACCTTCTTGGGTATTTCGATGCCCACAATATCAACTGGCTCGAATTTTCGAATATCAATGACTCCGTACGGGTGCAATGCTGATACTAAACATATATATAAACGCTTGCGATCGCTGCTAATCATGAAGTGCCGGTACCGCCGCAACCGCTATGTCCCTGCATTTTAAATCTGTAACATCTTCGATGTGAAATGTGAAATTCTGTGAAATTCCATATTAATCTATATCAAATGCATAAAGTATTTAAGTTATTTAATTGGATTAGGAGTAATGCTGTATTACATAAAATCGCTTCGTAAATAAGCCATTATTTCTCGAGAAAGAAACTAGTTATTCTGGGTTATTCCTAAGAGATAGACATATACAGTCGCAGATTTTTTTGTATTATTCTTAAAGAATTATATACATTCATAACAATTGTTTTTTCACTCATATTTAATGGTGACAATTTCGGACGCTTCACGATTCCCGAACAACTAGCTTCCATGTTGTATGGCTGTTTATTCAACGCGCTCTTGAAGTAAACGGAAGAATATCACGAATAACCCCGCTAAAAAGCCAAGTCGGTCTTATTGATGGGTGCGATGTGTCTGTTGACAGTATAACAGTATAATTCAAAGGAATATCTATTCATACCGCCTTCATAAAAATGTTTTTTTAATCCCCTTCAACTAAATACCTATTTGTTGGAGAATGTATTGGTTACTACTAGACATATTTCAACATTTGTCATTTGATATTTTGTTTGTTATGAATGATATTTTTCAAGAATGAATATTGTTTTTTCGTCGTATAAATTCATTTACTCAATTCGTTGAGAGTATATAATTTGAATGCAGTACGCGTATGGCACTAAAATATATATATACAGATAAACTTCTGTAGTCTCTCATTTCTGAACAGATTATAGGATGAGCATTTGAGGACCCTTGTGGAGACCGATCCATCACAAACGGTGCGTGGGATGGCGGAAGAACTGGGCGTCAGCTTCCATGCGGATTTTGATGGTTTCAAACGTATTGGAAATTGTCCCATTTCGAGGTCTGTTGTTCTTTGCTTTTGCGCAACCGAAACCAATCTTTCTTAGATCCGTTCATCACGTGTGATGAAAAGTGTATCTTCTACGAGAACAGAAGAATTTCAAAACAGTAATTAGACACCGATGACTGACCCAGGCACTTCCTGAAGGCAAAAACCAAAAAAGACAATAGTTATTGTATGGTGGTCAGCGGCTGGTGTGATTCACTATACCTTTCTGCAACCGGGCGAAACCATCACAGCAGAGTCCTATTGTGGGGAAATCTACGAAATGTACCAAAAATTGCGCCAGTAGCAGCCGGCATTGGTCAACAGAAGAGGTCTGATCCTGCTCCACGACTACGCCCATCCGCACGTTTCACAATTTATCATTCGAACATAAAACGAATTGAGCGTCGAAGTTTTGCCTCACTCCCCATACTCCACAGACTTCTCACCAACGGCTTCCATCTTTTCAAGCACTCCAATAACTTTCTCACCGGTAGAACCTTCGCCAATCAGGACTAGGCAAAAATAGCGTCGTCGACTTCATCGAATCAAGATCTCCCAATTTTTATGCTGACGGAATTAAACGACGTGTGTTACGTTGGCAGTATTCACTGAGATATTACAGTTTAAATTAGACTCATAAAAACGGACAAAAATTTAGAACCAAAAGCGGTATATGTCAGTAACCGTTTCAAAAACTCGTTCATTTGGAGAACTTTATCTTTATTGAATACATTTTTGGAATATGTTTCTCGAAATAAATACAGTCTAGCGCAATTTATATCCAACATGAATTGAATACCTAAATAACTTGAAATTTTTTCGCAGATCTTGTGTTTGAACATGTTTTCCATGTTTTCCATGTTTCGTGTTCGTGTTGTTTTCTCACCTTGATTCAACAATCAATTACAATCAAATTCAACCATTTGTCAAAAATTAAAGAATATTTGAAAATATATTGGAGATTGTTGTAAATATGAAATCGAGAAGTCCATCCGACTATTTGAAAAGATACTAATCTTCCTATTCAATAACAGGTTACCGATCTTGTTGGATCCTTTCATTAAACCAACTTTTTTGTTTTTACATCAACAATTATTGTGATTATACTATGAATCCGGTGTTATTGTGTCTTGCATAATAATAACCAGCATAGCACTGAAAGTATAGTAATTACTGCCTTCATTTGTTTCCTATATAATGTGTGTTATCCAATGACCTCATTCTGATTTAAAGTCACTGACAAAAGTCTAGTGATAATTGGCATACTCATAGCAAAAATGATATTTGTTTCAGTTTATTGTCCATCAGTGTTGCTATTTCGACCCAGGTTTTCACACCATTATCGACAGCGGGTTTAACTTAAACTTGAATAACGTGTTGAAATAGCTTTCATTTCAAACACTGGGAACATTGTTTAAACATGAAAGAAATGTTCGGATATAACGAAAAAACGTTTTTCAATGCATTTCGGCTCCTTTATAGAAAGCCCTACCAAAACTCCAGGTATTTTAGAATTTTTCAGGACGACTATTTTGCGGGATCCAGATGTAAGCTCAAGGGATAAGATGTAAGATTGAAAATTCAAAATACAGGGAATTTCAAATTTTTTTTTTCGTCTGAATCACACCTAAGGTGTTGAAATTTGGCATGAANTTAGATCCGTTCATATATGTATTTGAATTTCTCATATTGAATCTCTTCAATCGTCCAAATACGTCATCTACCGAATATATAGAAACTAAGCTAGATGGTAAAACGAAAACGAAGTTTTGTCAGCTGTTGTCATATCAATGTGGTTTATTGTACTTCCAGTGAGTGAAAGTAATTTATTTTACCTATTCATCAGTTTCTCGTGTCTATAATGAACTCACTAAGATATTGATCTCACAATTTCACTCAACTCAATCCATCCATAAACCATGTTTAACATTCATTTATTCCGATTAGCTGTTAATGTTTAAGTATAGCGCCATTATCGGTAGAAATTTTTCCCTATCGATGCGAGACCATACATAATCCTGCAGAAGTTATTTGAATGACACTATTTATTACAGTAATCTTGGTCCTTTTTACCATTAGTCTACAAGAAACTGTATTTGCTAATATACCCTTGAATTGACCTCTTGCCAACGAGACGAAATAGTGAAACTTTAAATCTTTGATCTCATGTTGTTCTTCCAAAAACTTATTTGGAGAGTTATAAACCCAACGAACACCAAAGTATAGATGAGTCAATGGTGAAATTCAAAGGCCGAATTGGGTTCCGGCAATATATGCCTATGAAACCGGTCAAAAGAGGATATAAAATCTGGATACGGGCAGATCAGTCGGGATTCGTATCGCAATTTCAAGTCTATACAGGAACATCTGATGGAGTTCAAGAGAGCTTAGGCTCAAGAGTGGTGAAAGATTTGACCCGTCCACTTGTGGACAAGTACCATAAGGTATATTTTGACAACTTCTTCACAACTATCCCTTCGTTACGTGATTTATTGAACGAAAATATTTATGCTTGTGGTACAATCAGGAAAAATCGAAAAGAAGAACCCAAAGACATAACAAATAATAAAAATAAAATGCTTAGAGGTACTAGTCTCTGGAAGATGAGTAAGGAAGGAATATTTTATCTAAAGTGGATGAATAGTAAACCTGTATTATTTTCAAGTAATTTTCATGATCCTGATGATGTCCAAACTGTTTCTAGAAAACAAAAAGATGGTTCGTCTCAAAATATTGCATGTCTTCAGCTCGTGCACGATTATAATGTTCATATGGGGCACGTGGATCAATCTGATATGTTCCTGTCTTTATACAAAGTGAATAGGAAATAAAGAGAATGGTGGCACCATTCAATAGCTTCATTATATTCAGAGACCGAACACCCACAAAAAGTCTAAATTAGAAAGAGTTCAGACTAGCTGTAGCCGCAGGACTTATTGGTGCTGATCCAGCAATACCTAAAAAAGGCAGAAAAAGTTTGGAAGATGTTCCAAACCACTATAAGAAATCAGTTCCACCTGAAATAAAGTATGACAAATGTGCACATATGCCTATTCATGGTACAAAAGTCAGATGCGCACATTGTAGTTCACGTTCGGAGCCCCACCGAACAAGATGGCACTGCTCCAGTTGTAATGTCGGACTTTGTTTGACCGAAAAGTCTAACTGTTTTTTCAAATTCCACCAAAAATTTTAATTTTTTCAATTCGATTTTTTCAAGTTTTGTGTTTGATTTTCATTGTGGTCCTGATATGGAACCACATTTTTTTGTTGAATTTTGTAAAAACAAAACAATAAATTTTCTTTTTAACATTTTTTGTTTGTTTTTCATAACACAAACAACAATTCAATTGGTACAATAAAGTGTATTTTAGAAAAAAATAATGTTGGCTTGAAAGGGTTAAGATAACATCACATAAAATCACTAAATTCTCAAGTTGCACTTATCACCCTACAAACGATTCACAATACAGGGCACTATTTTCTTCACTCGAAATCGTCATTGATTGCAAAATCAATCATTTCAGTGCTAAATTCAATCAAAACTTTGAAGTCATGTGGTTTGAGATAACGTCACAAAAAATCACAAGATTGATTTGTTGTGTAAATCGCCCTACAAGCGACACACAATACAGGGCACTATTTTGTTCACTTGTGATCATCACTGATTTTTTACAAATTAATCACTCCAGTTCAGAAATTCATGCACCTTCTTGGGTATTTCAATGTCCACAATATCAACTGGCTCGAATTTTCGAATATCAATGACTCCGTACGGGTGCAATGCTGATACTAAACATACATATAAACGCGTGCGATCGCTGCTAATCAGTGCCGATACCGCCGCAACCGCTATATCCCTGCATTTTAAATCTGTAACATCCTCGAAAATATCCCTTTGAATTATATGCTGTGAAATTCCATATTAATCTATATCAAATGCATAAAGTATTTAAGTTACTTATTTGGTTTTGAAGTAATGCTGTATTACTTGAAATCGCTTCGTAAATAAGCCATTATTTCTCGAGAAAGAAACTGGTTATTCTGGGTTATTCTGGGTTATTCCTAAGAGATAGACATATACAGTCGTAGATTTTTTTGTAGATCTTTTTAAGGTGTATTGTAGTATATTTTTGATCCTCCTGGGTTCAGTCAGCGCAGCATTTGCTTTGTAAGCGCAAAAAAACCTCTAAAAGTATCTCCAGTGTTTCTCCAATATATTATGCATGTCATATACATATAAACCTTCCTCTTGAATCACTCTCTTTCTATTTAAAATAACCTGCATATAATCCGTTGCGTAGTTTTGAGAATCTATATGCAATGTAGTAATTAACAAATTGGCGATGAGGCTCTTCATCTGTTCACAATGACAGCTCCAAATCGTTTTCCAGGAGGATACTGATGAGAAGTTGAAGAAGTTCGAAATACACCTCAAAATTTGGTAGATAAGTATATCAATACTCTTCATATATTGTGTAGCTTTCTTATGTATATCTATTTCAATTCCAATACGAATGTTTGAAGTATGAGATGAATGGGAAAAATTGTATTTTTGTATAATTCGATGTTCAAATGTTTCAAACTATTCATTTCAGTTGTACTTTTTCTTCCTTTTTATATTTGAAAGAAAATTTTGGGCATGATCTACACATATTTTATACTGAAGTATTATTTTATTTACTTTTTCTTTTTTGGTAGTTCATCACGTTCTTTGTTATAATGTTTTATTCGAAAACTAATATCTATCTCATTGAATTAAACAGATTAGTTTGTTATTTATTTGAAAAATATAAATTGCACCAGTGTTTTGTATTCTCTTCAATATGTCTTACAAAAATGCGATTTTTCCGTCTTTTTATAATATCAGTCGAGTTCAGTCTATAGATTTCCGAATATTTGGAATTTTTCAAACTTATCGTTTCATAAGATCAACAGGTGATCTTTCACTTGTCAAATCTTTGAAAAAATTCTATCGGGAAACACTGACTTTTACTATCGTAATTTATTTTACCTAT